TATCTATCTATCTATCTATCTATCTATCTATCTATCTATCTATCTATCTACTCAAACATTTCAATGAAGTGGTGTTTGTAAGACACAGGGCAGACAGACAATGACGAAAGGCAGGCAGAAAAGGCAAAGAGTGTGTGTGTGGGGGGGGGGGGGGATTTTTTGGGAGACGGCGCCGACTCATGCGCAGCCTTTTAATTTAGGCTCTTTCATCTTCAGCCTGATTGACATTCCACATGTGTGTCTGTGTGTTGCACAGCTTTGTACAGGCAGTCTATGGGAACACTTTCATGTGTGTGAGTGGATCGGCTTTTTGTTCTGCTGCGGTGCACGTGTGCTCGCACAAACGTGTGCGATCCACCGTCAGCGCGCGAGCTCTCGGCCTGAAATGTAATCAGCTTATGGCCGTGAAGGGCAGCAAATGCAAAGGTGGTGAATATCGGATGAGCAGACCTGTGTTTTGTGTGTACGATTTAGCATCACTTTTGATGTAAGCTCGTGCCTACTTGGAGGAGTAGAGCAACAGGAGAAAAGAGCGGGATGAAGGCAGGGATGAAGGCAGGCGACGCCAGAAAGAGTCCTAAAGTTTCCTTTCTCTTTGTCCTGTAATCCCCTTTTACTTTCATCTCCGTCTTTCTTCATCTGAATCATCACTCTCTGTCAGAATATGGGAAGGTTCGAAAGAAAGTACATGGAAATTAATTGTGAAACGGCAGAAATGCAATAGAAAACTCTGTGAGTGTGTGCACTCTCTGTCTTTCTGCATCAGCTTAAGTTAGAATACATTGAGAATTCACCTCCACCGAAGCCTAGCTGGGTCTGACTCATTTGACAAATGAAGGTGGAAAATGTGCCTGCGAATTAAGTAGGTCAGGAAAGCGAAGTCAACCTTAATCAGCCTTGTGCACGTCCAGCTAATTTCAAAGTCTCTTTAATCAGTTTTGCCTAATATTTGTTGCAGTAAGCAAGATGGATTTCTTCTTCCCCCGTACCCAACATTCTCTAACTGCATCTCCAGAATGGGAAAGTACTGACCCAGAATAATGAACTGCCCACAGGCTGAGTGTTATGAGTACCTGTAAGACGAAAGTGGTCAGCTCTGCTACGATTTTTCGAAACGTGGGACTGGTTAGATGTGCAGTGTACAACACAAAGAAGAACACAGTCCAACAGTGTCACTCAAATGTCAAAGAACAATCACTTTCAGTCACTCTATTCAGAGGGTTAAAATTCATGAAGGGGCGCATAGAGACATTGTTACGTCAAAGGTGGTCACAATCCACAGATGATTCACATTTAAGAGTCATGGATTAAACATTTTGCTTTTAAAATAAAAAAGAGATCTTGACCTGGGTTTGCCAGTAGGCCTTGGATTGTTATCCTGCTTGAATACTGTTCTTTTGTGACGCATCTAGAGGCAGTGAGTCATAATACTGCCAGTATTTCAGTATCCCCATATGCACTGAAGGTGCCTTCCTGAAATGTACTCTCCCCAACTTCTTTTGTCTGTATTCACTATTGTGTCACCGCACTGCCTCCTTAATGCGTCACTTGAAAGTTAGGCATTTGGGAGGGGGGCGGGGGGGTCATAGCTAATCAGATTTACATCAAACACACTTGTCGGATTTTCTGAATAGAACTAACTAGTAATGCCACAATGCAAAGAGTGGCAGAAGAAAAACAATTCGGAATGATGACTCGTCATTGCCATTGTTTACAATACCTCATATACTGTCCCTGTAAGCCTTTTCTGCACTTCAAGGCATTATATAATATGTGAGGCATAGCTCAAAACCTTCCTCATCACAGTTACTGCCAAATGAAGAATAAAAAAAATGATCTATACAGTTTTTCATTTTTCATGTTAAGCCTTCAGTTTCCTCCGCTCCCTTCATTCAACAAGTGGACGATCTTTCCTCCTGGTCTCCGTCTCATGCACCTTCTGCTGCCTTTTCTGTGACAGAGACACGTTTTAAAAGGCTTCTGTAATGAGGAACATTTTTGGTGGGGAAGGGAAAGAAGTCCTCAGCTACTCTGTCAGAGATGGAAATGTGTCTTTGTGATCACTGATCCCTCTGAGTTTAGTGGCCTAGAGAAACGCTGAAACAAGGAACTCTCTGAATAAAGACTGCATGATTCTGAGAAAAGAAGCAATGGGGAGAGGAAAAAAAAAATCTGCAATAGAAGCTTTTTACTCTCTCTTTTGCTTACTCGTCTTATTTCATGGCCAATTTAATCCCTGAGTTTCACAATTATGGCCATCCTGCCTACAACATCTACTCATCACACCTGCTTTTATCAGAAGATTGGACACCATTGTATCATCTTGTGAAATGTAATGTATTTCATAAAAGCTGCCTGATACTTGGGGACTTGTGTAGCAGTGGACATCAACCATGTCTTTCTCTCATAGCTAAAGCACATTAACAAACACACTGCTATCCGGCCTCACTCAGCTGAATGATAATTTGTTTGTGGAGAGTAAGCACTAACTTTCAAACCCTTGTGCTGCGCTGGCAAGGTTGGCATGACTTCTCAGAGCCAGTCTTAGTGCTCAGTCTGAACAAACACTTCTTCTGTCCCTGCTCTCTTCCTATTGCTCTACACTGAGACCACCTCAGAGTCCATGGTCTTTTTGCTTTGGAAGTAACTGAGGTTATGAAAAATATTGCATAAATGAACAAGCATTTGAAAAGATCTGACATGTTCACTGGACTAAGATCTTAAAGTCAGAAAAAATATCAAATTATATATCGTATACAATGATGAATCATCTGTGAAATACTGTCAGCAACAGCAAAAGAAAAATTCAAAACATAACATATAACCAAATTATTTTCAACCACTGTTCACTTCTAGCCAAAGCCGTTTCTAAACAACTAATTCTACGATACACCAAAACAGATTAAACTGAAACCCCCTTGAAGATGTACCTTACTCATCCATTTCCTACAACATTTTAAAAGATCATCCGCTGCCAAGAACACATGCTGCTCAACAGGACGTTTTGTGGCTTGTGCCAAAGCTTGAGCTTTCCTCACAGAAAAACTCACTGCTGCGTTACACCAGTTGAGTTGTTTTAATGGGAGGCGACACAGAGATAATAAATGAGATGTAATGTGGTTTAAGCTTCCCTGTTCGGAACGGAGCTCCACAAAGTGTGAACCAGTGCCCAACTCATACAAAACCTGTGACTCCAATGCAAGAACTTTCATGCCGTTCACAGAGGTTGTGCCATCCATGTGGGGCAACTATTTTCCGCTCTTTTATGTAGTTATTTTTAGGTCTTGACACTGAAAATGTGTTAAGACCCCAAAGTTTTAACATTATCTACTTGTCATTTTTATGGTGGGGTTGGTTTTCAGAACTTTTAATTGACTGTCAATGTTTTTTACTTTTTGAGCATAGAAACCAACAGTATTTTAAGCACCATTTGATACTGTTCTTTGAAATAAATCTGGCAAAACATTTTCTGGTAAAAAAAGAGGATTAAAACACCCATTTTAACAGAAAAATAGTTTCAGTTAATCTAGGATTCAAGAAGGCAGTGACAACTCATCGAGATTCTTCAAGTAGCACGTCCCTCAGATTTGCATTTTTCACAGTTTTGTTGCTTTCAAAATGCAAATTGCAGTAAAAGTGAATTATGCAGGTGGACTGACATATGGTCACTTAAGCTTTGATGCAGGTAGATTTTTATTTCATTAGGACTTATATCACATTCAGAATGTCAGTGTGTCCCCACATGCCTTTTTTAATTGTTTTTCCCTCAAACTATTCTGCCATCACCATATGTGTGACACATTGTGCATCGTAATATTAAACATGCTCTAATATATGTCTAAATAGTCAATATATAGGATTGTGCATCCCTTTTTTTCTTGTTTCTCCTGATGGGAGCTGTGACAGGTCTTGGTGGATCTGGGACATGAAGGAAGTAATAAGATAGGAGAGGACCCCCTAAGCACTAAGAGGAGCAGAGTAAGCCCATGACAGCAACTTCTCATTCTGTGGGCATTAGGAAGAAGTGGAGATGGGCAAAAGTCAGATCTGAAAAGAATTTGAAAACAGTTATCAGACTGATTGGCTCGAATCACAGCAGGCAAGAGGGGTGATGATATGATTTGAGTTGATTTGACAGCGTGGGAAAATGGAAGATATTGCGCATTGTGGGATGAAAAGCTCAAACACCAGGGAATGAGGGCACAGTTGAGGGATAAAACCTCCAAATTGAACTTCCTCAAAAGCTTCAATTGTCATTCAGTTGGTACAGGAAGTCAGTAGACTGAGGTCGATGACCGATATTAGTACATGACTACTATTCTATTCTAATTTTGTAGTCAAAAACACTCCCTAATATGCACAAATTTCAGTTAATCTATTTTCCTTTTCTTGTTTGCAGACATTTTTTACATTCAGGAAGCAATTGCTTTATCCGGTTGAACTATTTTTGAGCATGTTTACAGAGTCGATTTAGGAGGCACTCCAGTCAGTATCATGCTGATTAAATTTCCCATTATAGCCGGCAACAACTATATAGCCTGCTGTCTGTAGACAATGTGCAGCTCTGGGCACAAAGGAGGCGAGTTCATCATGGAGAAGAAAATATGTGGGAGGACGCACAGTCTGATGGGTGGAAAGAAAATACAAGGGATGAGGTGGAGAAGGAGCGAGAGGGAGGCAGACAAACTTAGCATGACATTTGAGTGGTTTTCACTTTTCTTTTTGTGATTGTGTCCCGTTTCTTGTGTGGCTGTCAGTGAGAGATGGCTTGAAAGATGTTAAGGATAAAAGAATGGAAAGTTAATAAGGAAATGGAAAAGATGCCGATAAGTTCTGACCCAAAGCTGATGCTATAATCTCCTCAAAGGCACATTGTGTTCTCAACATATGTGAACACAGCAAAAGCACCTGAGCATGAAATACAAAAAAGCTAATAAACTTTCGAAAATATGCAAGCAGGACTTTTTGTCGCTGTGGCAGGCATTATGTAGTTGACCTTTATGCTTCTTTGTATTTATTAATTCAGATCTAATTCCACCTTCTATTGGACCACCAACTCAACTTTGCTTTTTTCTGCTTTTTTTTCTTATCCTCTTTTCCTCTTTCTCTATGTGAGACCTTTCTTCAGAGCAAATGATATAGGTTTTTATTCAGCCTGTACAATGATCATAAAACCACCCTGCTTAAGATCCAACCCAAGCTTTTTCAGTTTGATTCATATTGATGCAGGTTGCGATGTGGGAATTTGTCAGTATATCTGACACATTACGCAATATTAGCAGATATCAACAGTAAGCCGTGGTATTTTATTTAGGGTGATTTAGTGGCAGCAAAGTTGAGCACTTTGGCTGTTTTGATAGATGGATGTGCATAATTTTACCAATCTCAGATCAGATGGTGCAGATGTATCAGGCTTTGCTGTTTGTATATAGCTGCAGGGATACATTAAAGGGACAGAGTAAAGAATCTACAGAAAACAAATGATGTAATAATTAGTATTTTAGAAATATTTGTTATATGACCAACATTATTTTAAAAGTAATTTCCTGATGTATCATATAAAAACAAATTTTAAAATTTGAGACATTTTACATTTAATGGAAAATTGATCATAAATTCAGTGGGAAAATCAAACTTCAAAAACTTTTAAGGCTGCAGAAGTGAGAAACAGTCAGTTGTCAGGTTACTTAACGACATGTTTTTAATATGAATAAGGATATAGAGCGTCTTAAAGGCGGAGTCTCTCACCAGTAAAGACAGGCAGTATTTCAATAACCTGCAAACATAATATGCCGGTTAAAGCTCTATTGTGGAAAGTAAGAATGAAGAAATATGTGAATGTTATCCAGAAATGCTTCTGTCTCTTTCTGGGTCAAATATAATTTCAAATTAATAAAGGCAAACTTGAAAACCGTTCTGCAATTAGACTGAACAAAATGGATTTTATTATTAGGGACACAGTGTCCACTAGACTGAAAAAGTGAAGGAACATCTGGCTTGTTATCAGCACTAAGTTCCAAAAGCCTGCACTTCTGATGGAGCAGGGATGCATTAATGCCTGTGAAAATTAAATGACATTAAATGGAAAAAAAAACTAATTTATCCCAAAGGGAAATAATCTCTTTTTGTATGGCAAAAATCTGAGAATGCATCCTCAGTCAGGAAAAGCACAGTCTCTCATCCAGATGTCTGTTCCATATGTCTATGAAGAAAAGGCCTTTTGTATAACAGCAGGACAAAGTTAAACTTCATCCTGCATCTGTAACAATAGCATGGCTTTGTTAAGAGTCTGGTCACTGTGGACCTTTCACCAACTGAAAACATCAGGCACATCATAAAATGCAAAAAAGCAAAGAACACCAAGGACTGAGCAGTTAGTCTTATGCCCAAAAAGAAAAAGGCAACATTCTGCTCCGAAAGATTCAGCAACTCTGATGAAACTTGTTCTATTAGATCCTTTCTGTTCCTTATTCAAGTATAGACTGTATTCTTCCTTATTCTATGTGAAATGTTTCTCCTGGCTTGGGATGGATTGGTAAAAGTGCATTTGTTTTACATTTTTATGGCACTGCTGCACACTTTCTCTAAGTATTCATTTTCCTCTCATAGATAAGACTCCCACAATGGGAGCTTGATGTTATACCAAAGAGACATGATTCTAAGTAAAAAATGCCACTATACCAGTAGCTTGCTTTTTGCTGTTTTAAGCCTCCTCGTGACCTACCATGATAGCACCTAACATCTCCGTCTTTTCTTCCTTTCTTCTCAACTTCTCCATGCCCTTCTCCTATATATCATCACTTCCTTCACTTGTGTTTAATAATTCTTCCTCTGCTGTCCTTTTGTGACAGAGTGAGGACCTTCCCCAAGGACTCGGCCTTGCTGGGGAGGGACACCGTCAGAGCCCTCATGTACTACGCTTTGAAAGTGTGGAGCGATATCGCGCCGCTGAATTTTCATGAGGTGGCCGGCAGCGACGCCGACATCCAGATCGACTTCACCAAGGCCGACCACAATGACGGATACCCCTTCGACGGGCCGGGGGGCACCGTGGCGCATGCGTTTTTCCCCGGGGAGAAGTTCACCGCCGGCGATACGCACTTTGACGATGACGAGGCCTGGACCTTCAGATCACCAGGTGGGAACAGTTCTGGTCTGCTGTGGTTTTAATCTGGGTTTTCAAATGCATTTGCTTCAGAATACACAGACAATATGTTATTTTCCATACTACATTAGATAGTTAGAAAATGTATTTGCCTTTACTTAAAAAGGCTTAAAGCTTTATTTCTAGTTGATTATGTTTCCTAGTTGATTTTACGATTGAAGTATTTTCTGACATTTAAGTTTTTTCTCTTGTACAAATATATAAATAACCATTGTTTTCATAGAGAGTGATAAGGCGCAGCCTTAAGTTATGACAAAAGTGAATAACATTGAGCATCTTGTTGTGATTCAATGTTTTGCTGGAAGATTTGGGGTTCTGGCATCTGTGTGCTTGTTACTTTGACACAGAAACCAATCACCCTATCCCTCATGGCTACAGCTCTCTGCTAAGGCGACAGATTCCCTCGGCAGAATTGCTTGTAATGCTACACATCATCAACAGCTAAAGAAAAAAACAGCTCAAGGTACACAAGAAAGAGAGGAGGATATTGACCCGGCCTCCAAAGTCCCCAGATCATAATCCAATTTGTCATCTGTGGGATGCACCACATAAAGCCGTGTACCCAAAAGACCCAGAGCACCCTCTGCTCATACACTGCTGCCTACTGTCTGGTTTGTTTTTGAGGTACGAAGAAGATGTAGAAGTGTTAGGCAGGTTGTTTTAATGCTTTGCATCATCCATTTCTGATGTTTGCCTTGTGGCTTTGCTCAACAGATAGTACATTTAAACACCCATCAACTACAGTGTGAGCATGTTACAGTTCTGTGTTCAAAGAAAACAGTTTGCTTCATATTTCAAATGGAATAGGCTTAACATCAGTGTATCCTCCCTCTGGCCAAAGTAAATGGTAAAATAATTAGCACATACAATGTTTTATTATGTGTTTTCATGGCACACTGTATCTTAGGACCAATGGGATCCTCTGGAGTCAGAAAAGTCTGCCTCTCTTGTCTGTTGCGTAACACAGTCCGTACTATCAACCCTGTAAATATAAATTGAAGCCATTCCAGCAAACTGAAACAGCCTTTGGTCTGTCACTGAGATAAATCATGTGATTGGCTGTTCAGCACAGTAGGAAAAATGCATAATTCTATCCACCTACTCTGAGCCCTCCTTAGTTTCCATTTTTGCTTTCTCTTATCTTCTTTCTCAACCAACAGAGCAAATGCTGCAAAACATATTTTGCACAACAAAGTTTCCCCAAGCCACATCCTCAATACTACCTACAATTATGTGGTTATAGATGCAGTGCAACGAATGTCATCAGAGACATAACTGTGCCCGAGTTATGCCCACATGGGGCAGCTGTTTTAAAAGAGATAAGACCTGTGACCCGCCTCCGTGATCCCCGTCCACTGGATTACCAGTTATTGTTTTTCCCATGTTGCTTGAAAAGATATTTCAAGAGGTGATTTACTTCTGACTGGAAAACAAAAAGAAAAAATGTACAGACTCCAGTTGGAACAGTGACACGTGTGCATGTGTCACTAAACATCTTTAATATGCACACTTTCTGTCTGAATGCACTTTCTACACTATCAGCTCATTTCTGCACAGGACAGTGAAGTCCTCATGCAGAAAGGAATAATCGGACCTGCCTCCTGTCCGACTTGGTCTTGCTTTAGTTCAGTGGCAATTTATTTGCGCCCTATCTTGGTGCGAGGATGCCCAGAATGCGGCTCTTTCATTACCACTGGTTTATACGATAGAATTTCCATTTGAGATAAAACAAGCTTTTTCTTTTCCCTTTCCTTTTTTATTTCCTTTCCACAAACATCTGAACATATTTGAACAACAGGCAGCTGATTATTTGGCCCCCCAAAACTTTTATATGTGCAATTTACTCTTGATATGTCAAGAGTAAATTGCTGTTTGCAGAAAGTTGTGAAAGCCCGAATGCGGCCGAAACAAAAAGGGAAATGGTTGACACAGCTTTCGAAGCAATAAAGGAATTGTTCCACTTATGGAACTTTCTCCTTTGTGCCATTTCCTGGGTGTCTCAGTAACCCATCCAAAAATACACTTCATAAAGCATCTCTTAGCAGTTTCCAGCTACACTCTGATGAACATATTAAGGACTTTCTTACAGAAGAAGAGATGCTGTGGGGGTTGAACAGCCAGTCCTCTAGTTCACGAACCAGATGAGCAATGGCTCTTTTAGTGCGGAGAAAAAAAAACACTTATTGACCTTTTTTCATTTATTTTTCAAATGGCATATAGAAATGAGCATGAAAGCACAGTCATGTTTAAAACATTGGATTTGTTAAAGTGCAACATACAGCCAAGTCTTGACACCAGCATAATTAATGATGTCATGTTGCAAATGGACATGGAATAAAATGATCAAAACATATAGATGACTCCCTCTTCAAGGGAAAATTCTAAACCCAAGTCACTTATAGTAATTATCATAAAGTTGGACCCTCTTTGGTGTGTTATACACTCAAACGCACAACCGATTCCTTGAGCTTGTGATTGAAGTTCATCCATTGTGTTTTGTGTGTTTTATTGTGGGTGAATAAATTGCTTCGTGCAATCTCCCCTGAATGATCTGGCCAAATTTCTCTCATCAAATGTTTTTCATCGAGCTTGATTACCCGCCGAAGGAGACATGCGAATCTGAAATTAGAATTGTGGTGACAGCGGCTCTAAATGGAATTCAATCAGATCTGCCAATCAAAAATAGATGAGCTTATATTAGAGATATCCGTCATTCTCTGACGGCTCTGAAAAAGACCGAGCGCAGTGTTTTAGTCTCAGAGCTGCTGATTATCACCGATTCATTATTCATTTGTTCTTATGCTCACCTATTAACAACAGAGCAGACAGTATATTCACTCTGCAAACTTTATCGTGCTTGTACCTATTTGTTTCCCTGGTAAACTCTGAGCTAATGCCTTATCAGTACGTGTAAATTCCACAACCTCTTTATTGTTTTCTGAAAATTCTTTTCTTGTCACTTAGCGCCGTTCTCACGTTTTGTCCCATCCTTTGTTTCTTTTCTTCTTTTTTTGTCTAAATGGAAAGAGGCTGGGAAGTGGGAAAAGGTGGAGGGAGCGTTATGAGGCCGCTCATCCGGATGAAACAGACGGCTGCAGAGATGCGGCGTTCTGAATGCTTCAGCAGGCGGGGACAGTGTCACTACAGTCGTGAATGACAGCGTTATTTATTAGGTCTCCTTCTGTCTCACTAGCTTTCTTTATTCGTCATTTCGTCTGGATGACTGAACTCAAATTGACGCTTCTCTCACCTCTATTCAGTGCCTTGATCTGTTGCTTCTTTTGAAAGCATGGATGGACAATAGACGGCGGGCCTGTGGTGTGAGAGCAGATCAGGGTTTGAGCGAAGAACATTGGGCAAAAATATGTCACAAACGTCAGAGCTACATTGAAAAAGCACTTTGTTTCCCCTTATTGAGTGTATTCATCCAGTTGTTCTTGGATGTGTTTACTTACTCATGCCAACACGGTCATGTAATGAATAATGAACAATAATGACAGGGAGAGTGGTGCGATCTTTTGGGCACTCAGATTTTACACAGAAGTAGCTGAGGAAAGAATAAGAGATTATACTCAGCATTGTTGGTTAAACTGTCTTTTTTGTTTGTTTTTTTCTTATTCTTTGGCACAGCCAACCCAATTTCCAGCTGTGAAAAGTTAGACAATCCAATAGCTTTGATCCATTCAGACTCCCAGATCCCTCTTGTCACTGGATTCCTACTTACAGAAGTTTTACAGTTAGTGCTTGTAATGAGTAAAACCTGTGTCATCTGCAAGATAATGTGGTATAGAATCATTTTTAGAAGCTAAAGGGGTTGAGTTTTTCATCTCATTGAAATTCTGGAAGATATAAACTTCGACTTTGACTGATCAGACCTGCTGTTTGTGGTGAATGGATTTCATCATCATTTTGTTTACTGATGAACACAGAATTGAAAACGGTGTTCGAGCGAGGAGAGAGTAATTGTTGCCACCACCTGCTAAAACAGTCCCTGAAGTGGATAGATGAGCGGGAAGACTGTTGTTGAGAAAGAGAATTGCACATCTTTACAGTTTAGTGTGTATCTAGTAGGTAAAAGGAGGATTCATAAAATAGTAAATAAATCAAGACCTGGTTATTTCTTGTAAAGCAGGGAGCTAAAGAGAGAGTCCATACGGTGTACACGTTCAGCATTGTGTTTATCTTGGGCGAGGTGTTGTATAGAACAATTTGATTGCACTACACACAAATGACGCTCCGTTATTTCACGTGGTGCTTTGTTTTTGTGTGTTTTTGCCAAGTTGTATCCAAGCAGCGGCCTTCAAACAAGTGTGATCCAACTCATGCTTGATGTCGTTCGTCCCACCATGCAATTTTCTTGCTCAGCTGTATCTTCTAAATATAAAGGGCTATATAGTCAGACAACAATCTTGTACTTGTGCTTTACATAACCGTTTTCCAAACTCTGTGTTTAAATTCACAAAGACGGTAGGCCGGGGATTGACGGGAGCCCGTTCTTCTGATGTCTGGTCCTGTTATCCTCTTGCTAGTGTCGTCCTCATTTTCCTTTTTATTGAGCGTTCTTACATCAAAGGCCTAACTTTTGTTGTTGCGTGGTTTATTTCATTTCATCTGAGATCGTGTTGAACTTTTCTTTTGCTTTATGGCAAGAAAATGTTTCCAATTATTCAATACAAAGGGGATACAAAGAAAAGATTTTAAAGAAACTATAGCAATTGTTAATGTCAGACAGGATGTACCGGAAGCTGATTTTACATCAAAAACTCATTACTTGGTTAACACATTTCCCTTTATACTCAGTGTTATTCATGATAAACCATTGATTTTGACCACAGCCTGAGGTAGCGGAACAGTCGACCAGTGTATTTGTGTTTTCCATCCCAGCTGGGGGATCTGTGATGATCTCCCACCTTTGTTTTGGGCTGTCGGGGCTGTGGACCATATGCCGCTGGACAGCAGCTCAATCTGCCCCA